CGAGTCTTTTGTGCCATAACTTAATAGCATCTTCACTCTCTAAGGCATTAATGATATCCTTAGAAAGCTTAGCATACATCAAGTAAAGCGACGAAGACTTCGTACCTCGAGCCACAACCATGGAACCTCTCGTAAGTTTCCATTGACCTCCACTGAATGTACTGCAGAAACCTTCATCATCAAGTCTTCCCGCTGAGATCAAGTTCAGACGAACATCTGGAACATGCTTAACATCCTTAAGCATAAGTCTAGTACCAAGACTAGTCTCCAAGCAAACATCTCCAATGCCAACGACTTCAGCCGAACCATCATTGGCCATCTTGACGAAACCAAAGTTACCCGGAGTATAGGTAGCAAAGAATTCACGTCGTGATGTAGCATGAATGGAAGCTCCACTGTCAATCACCCAACTGGTCTCATGGCACGTGAGATTGATCATATCACCATCGACCATGATCAGGAACTCTTGCCTTGCAACTGCAACTCGTTCCTCGTTGTCCTCATGTTTATTTCCTTTCTTGTTGTCCTTCTTCAATTTCCAGCAATCCTTCTTGATATGCCCTTTCTTGTGGCAGTAGTGACATTCCACATTTGCAAATTTGTTGGATTTGCTCCTGTTCCGATTTTTCTCCTTCGGATTCCGATTCTGACTCCTCCCCCTCGATTCAGATACCAGAATATCAGAACTCGAGGAAGCTCCTTGAGACTGTCTCCGTGTCTCTTCATTTAGAATACTGTTCTTTGCGTATTCCATCGAGATGACACCGTCTTGAGCTGAGTTTGACAGTGATATCCTGAATGTCTCCCACGAATCCGGAAGTGTGCTGAGAAGCCACAAACTTTGAATCTCATCTTCGAAGGTGATCCCCATATCGGATAATTTGTTCAACAGACCTTGAAACACATTCAAATGATCTATCACCGGACTTCCTTCGGCGTACTTCAAATCAACCAACTTCTTGATGAAGTACAACTTGCGATTCCCAGTGTTTCGAGCGTACAACTGCTCTAGCTTGCTCCACAAAGATCGAGCATTAGTCTCACCAGCCACATGGTTCAAAACATTGTCATCCACCCATTGTCGTATCAATGCACAAACCTGTCGATGCAGCAATGTCCATTGCTCATCAGTTTTGCCTTCGGGTTTTTCTTCAACAATCAACGGTAGGTGATACTCCTTCACGTATAGCAGATCCTCCATCTTACCTTTCCACACGTGATAGTTGGTACCGTTCAAACTCACCATCCGACTAGTATTTGCCTCCATTGTTTACACAAGTGCACCCACAACCACGGTGCTCTGATACCACTTGTTGGGGGGTTTTTTCGTTACTTCGATCGTTTATCACGGATCAGTAACACAAACCCCTTACTTGTGTAAACCTGTGAGAATGACAATATCTAGTGCAACGGTACAAGACAACGATTTTTAACGTGGAAAACCCCCTCGGTGTGAGGAGTAAAAACCACGGGACCGTAGTCCACTCAAAAATCCACTATAACTGGATTACAATGTTCACACAGCAACACACTGAGATTACAGAATATTAACTCCAATATTCTAATCTCAGTAACCCGAGAGAACACTACCCATAAGTAGTAATCAGACTGCAAATCAACCCCGTGACTTCTGATTCCAGCAACAACTCAACCGTATAAATCAAAGACGAAAGGGTCATGAACAAGTATACCGATTTGCAGCTCAACCGGAGACGAAAAACCACCGTCAAATATCCCGACGATCAGAACTGTGTTGATTCGCTCTGTAGAGAACAACTTCCGAAAAACCTCCGTGTAGAAACTCTTCTCACAATTTTAGATCGATTAGAAAAATATTTTTCTGATCGAATCTCTCCCCGAATACCCACACTATTTTTCACTCTTTTTTTTCTCTCTCCTTTTTTTTTTTCTCTCTCGCTTTGCTTCTGCTTGCTCCCTTGCTCTGCGTGCTTCTCCCCCTCCGCGAAACCTCCGTTTTATAGGCAAAAATTTGCCTAACAAAACAAATCAGGTGGGGCCTATGGAGGAAAATTTTCACGCCACCTTGCGGCTGCTTTGGCTTCATCAGGCGGAAAATTCAACAGTTCCTCCTCAGGCTTGTCAAGAAAACCTGGAGAGAAAGATCGGATCCCAGCTAGACGAAGCTGCGCTCGAAGATCTTCTGATACCGAACATGGGGTACTCGACCGAAACCCTATACGACACAGACTGTGTCCAGATGATTCTTGATCATTTCATGATGGTGGACCATGATATTTCTGATTACATTGTCGAAGAGAGCCAAATAATGGGCGGTACCCATCCTCTTATGCCGCTCACGATGGTTGCTAATCTCATTGACGGGTACTTAGCCGAGGTGGCGTCTGATGTAAACCTGAAGATCTCCAAATTCCAAGCATTGGGTGCTATTATACCTGAATATGCCAGGCCGTTAGACGACGGAATCTACCGTGCCATTGATATATATCTCAAGGTAAATCATCTTTTGAGAATAGTTTTAGGGTTTTGGACAAAGTTTAAGAAAAGATGTTATTATCATATCATGTTTTTTGTAATAACGTACTCTGGTTTGTTCAGGCTCATCCATGGATGACAGATTCTGAGAGAGAGCGGCTATGTCAGATCATGAACTGTCAGAAACTGTCGCTAGAAGCTTGCACACACGCGGCACAGAACGAGCGTCTGCCCCTTAGAGTCATCGTGCAGGTCCTCTTCTTCGAACAGCTTCAGCTCCGGACATCGGTCGCAGACTGGTACTTTGTCTCCGACAACATTAACGGCGACCCGCAAAACCCTAACGCCGTCAATGTAGGCGTTAACAACGTGAGAGAGCGTGTGTATGAGTTGGAGAAGGAATGTCTAAACATGAAGCAAGATCTTGAGAAGCTTGTGAGGACAAGGATTGGTTGGAAGATCTTCTCCAAGAAGTTCGGATTCAGGTCTAAGACAAAGACTTTGCCTTGCGACGGTGATAATGAAGAGGCACTAATCCATGGCGAAACCAATGATTAAAGACTGTTAAACACGTGATTAGGCTGTGATTAGATTGAGAAATCTGTTTCATTTTTTCCATTTTCCTTTCATAAAATAGTCTCTCGTGGAATAATACCACCCATGACACATCGACCCGTCGAATTCTTTCTCTATGTTATTATAGATGATTAATGTGTCAATTAGACGTTAATATTAGCGTTTTAGAATTATAAAAATATAGCTTCTTTATTTCATATTTTTATTAGAAAAGCAACAAGAAGCAATGTATATGTAAAGACCATATACAGAGTCTCCTCGGTCATATTATTGTAATTGCGAATAATAAAGGTATTAGATTGATGGAGAAATGGATGGACCGACAGGAGAGCAACCGTAGAGACATGAGTCTTGGTCGCGATAGCAGTCGTTGAGGTCGTTATGGCAGCACCAACAGTCACGCCTCCACACAGAGTGACAGTAGGTACTTACGCACGGCCCTAAATAGATCTTCTCCGATCCATCCTCGACTTCCTCCGCACTCAAACCTACAACATAATAATAATAATAATAATAATAATAATAATAATAATAATAATAATAATAATAATAATAATAATAATAATAATAATAATAATAATAATAATAATAATAATAATAATAATAATAATAATAATAATAATAATAATAATAATAATAATAATAATAATAATAATAATAATAATAATAATATATGTGATCGTTTTTGGAAGAAACTAACTTTTTTTTTTGTTTTGTCATAAGAATCCGACAATAATTATATATTCGGATATGATTCTAATTCATATCATCTATTGATGAATGCATATCTCTGTTATAAACAAATGGGTAAAAAAAAAGTTTTTTGAATGTGAATGATATGAGATGAACATTATCAAGTATTCATATATATATATATATATATATAGAGAGGACGAATCACTCAAATATACCAATTGTGTCGCAACAATTTTTCAGGTACACCACTAAAAAAGTAATTTTTTTCAATTTTATACCACTTTTTTCGTTTAAAAGATCCGAAATAACATTTCTTTCATATTTTTTACGATTTTTATTGCGACTGTTATATAACTAGTATACGACTAAAAAAAGAAGTATTTATGATCATATAACACGTAAAGATCTCATAAGCAATAAGATATATTTTTTACCACCTCATTTAGAATCAATTGCAACTATATTTAGAATCAATGGTAACTGTATTTAGAATTAAATATGATATTATAATTATAATTTCTTTTTTAATGGACAAATTACAAGGTTCATTAGGATAATATGGTCTTTTCGAAGAGAATTTAATGTGTTATATTTTTTGTTGTGTATGGGAGAAAATGATACTATAATTTTGGTATATTTGAGTGATTCGCCCATATATATATATATATATACGCATATAAATATTTAATTATAATCGAACGATTATGTGGTTTCGAGGAAAGAGAAAATTTTGGGAAGTACCGTACATTGATGAGAATGGAAAATGCTGAAAATTATCAAGCATATGATAGCCAAACGCGACGCCATGATAGATGTTTTGAGATAAATGAGTATCGGATTGGATTTCAACTTTTTTTTTTTCCCCACACGCTAATATTAGGTGTGAAATAAAAATATTAGAAAATACTGTGGTCAATATGCATCGTGAACGATAATGTGGACGTTATTTATAAGAAAATATAATTAAGGTAAGATTGATAATTATTAATGATTGTTTTGTCTGTATTTATTTTCTTGCCCATATAATTAAGGTAAGATGAAATTTTTTTATGTTGCTTTAATTTTTTTTATATATATTGATGTTTATATTTTTCTTATTGTATATATGAATGTGATAATTTAATATTTGTTTATAATTATTTTGAAAAATAATTTTTTATTATAGTTTAGACTATCTTTTTATATTTTTTAATTGTTATTGCTAAAACTAGTATAAAGTCTGCATAGCAATTTATGAATATTCGAGAGTTAAAATAATAACAATTTATTATAGATAAATTACTATTACCGTACATTGATGAAAAATATTTTCATTAGTGTCTGAGTAGATCTATTTTTCTATGATATTGATGTTATCCTTTTCATATATTACGCAAGTAATGTTTTAACAAAAAAATAACTAAATATCATAGGAGACTTAGAAGTTGAGTTACTGATAATAAAAAGTTTACTAAATATCATATAACATACCAAAGTCTAATTATTGAATTTCAAAGGAAAATTAGTGAATAATTTCATATTATGAATTATTTCATCTGGTATTAAATAGTTATATTTAAATAATATTACATATCAAATTCTAAGTATTAAATTTCTATAGTTTCAATTGGATTTCATTTTGTCTTACATATATCAATGTATAACCGTATAAGATGGTTAATCCGGTCCAAATCGGTTTGAATATAAGTTTGATCCGGTTAATCTGAACCGGAATGTTCACCAACCGTACATGTTGGGGCGGCTTAGGGCCCAAATGCAGGGTTCCTGAATACCTGAAGATTCGATTGTTTCTAGCTTCTTCCCTGAAAATTTCCACCGAAAACATCGCTCCGTCGCCTGGATTTCTTTGGGTTCTCCAATGGCAGGTAGAAATTTCTCAACATTTCTGTTTAAATTCATGAAAATTGAGCTCATAGTTTCGATTCTCTAGATTCGGCTCCTTGTTTCCCCGATCTTCTTTGGGTGTAACCATAACAAAACAAAAAAAAAAACAAAACTTGTCTGGTTGAAGCGACGATCACGACGTTAGATAGTTCGAATTCGGTCTATTGCTTCCGATGAAGTGATCTAGATTTAGTTCATTTGAACTCAAAATTAAGTTACTGTCAACTGCTCGTGTAAAAAAGACGACATTCCAATGGTTGTTACATGTGTTTTTTTTTTTCGTTTTGTTTTTTGAGTAATATGGGTATGTAATGTTTGGGGGCTCGAATTTGGGGTGTTAATGAAAGTTTGCAGATTCCATTTTTTCGAGTTCATCCATAATCTAAAGCCACCCTTTCTCACAGTTTGTAGAACTAGTTACCACTGTCGATCTTCGACAAACCAAGTTTAGTTTGCAGGGAAGAAACCTATGAAACTCTTGCATTTGCCACTATGGCATTGTCTTAGAAAGATGTTCAATGGCAGTGGATGTAACCCGTTTTCCAAATCGGGCGCTTATATCCTTAAAGTTTTGAAATTTATGTTTAAACCACAGGGATCGAAAGTTTCCAAAGATTTTTTTTTTTATGTAAAATCTAATAAAATCGTCAATTTTTTCAGGGAAGATTTTGCAAAATTTTTATGTAGTACAATGCCACCATCAAAATAGGCTGTTTGATAGACGGTGCCAGAGAGAGTCTCCTGCCTTGTATAAGTTTGCTTTCCTTCCCTTTGAGGGAGGGAAGCTGGCATGCACTGCCAACTCTTCCATGCGCACGTGCATTTCAAAATACCAGAGTGCTTTCCCTAAGCGAAGAACTGTTTGCTGCAATGGTCCGTCCTAGACACTTGATGTTAAGGTTCAATGAAGAAATTCATTGTGTTTGAGCACTCAGAAATGGTTCTACTTTGTTTCTTACTCATCATTACAGTGCACCTGATTTTGTGTATCATGTGTTTGGACACTGTTTTTCTGTCATGCTGGTTGGAGAAGAGGTGTCTTATTTCTTTCATTTTCTCGTCCTTATGTGCACAAGTGTCTCATTTTAGATTTCTATTTGCAGCTGCTCAATCTAGTGTTGCTGTGCCCGATGTTGACAAAGTTGGTTTCTTGAAGCTTCAAAATGGCAGGTGAAACCATAAATCTATCTTCTCTGCTGATTTTTACCATTAAAAATTCCTGTGCAAATGATATTCAGAAAACCCTATTAGCATTCTCGCTTGGAATTATTGCATGTTCTGCTTTCTTAATCAGTAAATTCAGTTGTGTCATTTGTTTTTGTAAACATAGCTTGTTCGCACTGTAATTGTCGTTTTCCTCAGTGATATTCGAGGTGTGGCGGTCGCTGGCATTGAGGGGGAACCAGTGAACCTCACTGAACCAGTGACTGAAGCCATAGCTGCTGCCTTTGGGCACTGGCTTTTTGACAAAAAGAAGGCCGAATCCCAACGGCTGAGAGTATCTGTTGGTCATGATTCTCGCATATCTGCTCAAACCTTGCTGGTACGTTATTAAATTTCCTGATTAGATAGACCTTGCGGATGTCAAAATACTTGGGACTTTAAAATCTTAATCTAAGCAATTGATTTATGCCTCTTTCAAAAGTTTGTACCCAGAAGCTTTATTTTCCCCTCCAATTTTAACACAGTATTGCTCTCTTCTGCTTTCACTGCAATGCCCTTGTTTGGTTTATAGGATGCAGTTTCCCGAGGTCTTGCTGTTGCTGGATTGGATGTTGTTCAGTATGGGTGAGTAGTCAGCCTTCCTGTCTTCTCCTGAAATTACTCATTTCTTCACTCGATTTATACATAAATTTCACAGAAAAGGGAATGAGTGATGGTGTATGCTACTGTCTGTTTGCTCTGTGTTTTGAAAGATATATCTCGCTAAGCAAGGAAATTATGTAGTTGTTAATTTTTTTAATGTTTTGCTTATGCAGATTAGCATCAACACCAGCAATGTTTAATAGCACATTGACTGAAGATGAAGCATTCCTGTGTCCAGTTGACGGGGCTATAATGATAACAGGTAGTTTATCTATTCTGTACATTTTCTTAAAACTTTTATGATTTCTTTTCATCACTTCCCATCATTTAGTGATTCTTCTGTTTCGTAGACTTAAAAGAGGTGTTGTTATTTTATTATGTGCAGCTAGTCATCTTCCATACAACAGGAATGGTTTCAAGTTCTTCACCAGGGATGGAGGACTCGGAAAAGTTGATATCAAAGATATCTTGGAGCGAGCTGCAAATATTTACAAGAATATTTTGGATGAAAGCCCATTGAAAAAGCAAAACGAAACTTCTTCTTCTATCAGTAAAATTGATTACATGGCGGTATACACTTCTGATCTTGTAAAGGCAGTTCGGAAAGCAGCTGGAGATGTAGGTAATAGTATTTCTTTGAGTTATTTAAGAGAGACGGAGAAAATATTTGACCTCACTCATCCTTCTATGATATGGTTTTACACAAAATCTTGCTTTAATTTTTTTTACCACCAACAATGTAGTTCTGAACTCCTGTTCAACTCATTTTGATATTTCAATCTAAGTTTCTGGTGTGTTCTACCTTTAGAGAAACCGCTGGAGGGTTTTCATATAGTTGTCGATGCGGGAAATGGAGCCGGAGGATTTTTTGCTGTAAGTTTCGTGTTTATGTTTCTTTTTTATATGCAATATTTTTTATTTCGAACCTGAATTGTTTGGTCTACCATTTATTTAAACTATTGTTCTATCTGAAATTTATGGTTGTTTTCCGTGCTTGAAATTTAACAGGCCAAGGTGCTTGAGCCTTTAGGAGCAATTACTTCTGGAAGTCAATTCTTGAATCCAGATGGTAAAATATATTTCCAATAAACATGGATTGGCTTTTGTTGTTTGATACTGTGACTTATATTATCTTGATCATCAGGCATGTTCCCAAATCATATACCAAACCCGGAGGATAAGACTGCGATGAAAGCCATCACGCAGGCTGTTCTTGATAACAAGGCCGATCTGGGTATCATCTTTGATACTGACGTCGATAGGTAATTTACTGTCGCTTCTTCATTTTATTGCAAGAGGATATTAGGTTGCTCGGCTCTCAGAAACAAGTATTATTAAGGTCTGCTGCTGTGGATTCCACTGGTCGTGAATTCAACCGTAACCGCTTGATTGCCTTGATGTCAGCCATTGTTCTTGAGGAAGTAAGATATGTTTTGAAACATTTATCCGCTCTCATGGTTGGGTATATAATATGTATTTGGACTGATCATTTTTCTGATTTGTCCCCGTTTGTAGCACCCTGGCACAACTATTGTTACTGACAGTGTCACCTCAGATGGGTTGACCACATTCATCGAGAAGAAGCTCGGTATGCGAATAATTGATCACCATACGGCATTCCATTTTCATGGTGATGTGTCACTGATCAGAACTTCTTTTAGGGGGAAACCATCACAGGTTCAAGAGGGGCTACAAGAATGTTATAGACGAAGCTATTCGCTTGGTAAGATAATCTTAGGTGATCATCCTCCTATTTTCTTGTTACTTTTCGAAATCACGTGATCCATAGTGCCAAATGTTTTACGGAGATTCATGCTTAGCAGACTTTATAGAGTAGCTAAAAGGAACAGTATTAAAAATGCATCGACAAGGGCTTGCGTTTTTTCATAAAAGCTATACCATGATTTTTTACAAATCTTGCAACAAAAATCAAATGAACCCGCCGAATGTTTGTGGTATATTTGTTTGAACACTTCATGAAACATGGAAGGTATTCTGAAATACAAATTCTTGTCGGGCAGAACTCCATTGGTGAGGAATCGCATCTTGCCATAGAAACCAGTGGCCATGGAGCTCTCAAGGAAAATCACTGGCTTGATGACGGGGCATATCTCATGGTTAGTTTCCAGATCTTAAGGACCGTGAGATAATAAAAGGAGAAGAATAAAGGAAGTATTCTCCTGCCACATATTGCTAAAACACAAAAAAAATGTTTATGTTAAATCCTTTTCCAGGTAAAAATCTTGAATAAGCTTGCTTCAGCCCGGGCTGCCGGGAAAGGTACTGGCAGCAAAGTTTTAACAGATCTTGTTGAAGGTCTGGAGGAGCCAGCTGTAGCTGTGGAACTTAGGCTAAAAATCGATCAGAATCATTCTGACCTTAAAGGAGGGTATGATACTGACTGGGTGGCTACCACAGTTCTTCAACTGTATTTTCTGGTAACGAGTTAACTAACAGCTGAAAAAAAATCTCAGAACTTTCCGGGACTATGGAGAGGCCGTACTGCAACACATGTCAAACTTGGTAGAAACCGACCCGAAACTTAAAAAAGCACCGGTTAACTACGAAGGGGTAAGTCACATTCTACCAGACATGTCTCGCTCCAAGAACGGGCTTATGTAGCAAACTCGATTTTCATCTTTACTCATGAATTCAGGTTCGGGTTTCTGGATTCGGTGGATGGTTCCTTCTCAGACTATCACTCCACGATCCCGTTCTTCCCCTCAACATTGAGGTACAAAACATTTGCTGAAACCCGTGGGTCGGTTTTGAAGTTGTTTCAGCCAAACTCTCACCTGAATTGTGATGCAATGCAGGCACAAAGCGAGGATGATGCAGTAAAGCTAGGACTGGTCGTGTCTAATGCAGTAAAGGAGTTCATGGCTTTGGACGCCTCCGCCTTGGACAAGTTCGTGCAAACTCATTGAAACCCTTTTGATGTGTGTGTGTGTGTGTTTCTTTCTGTTTTGATACCAATGTCTCTAAATAATACCAATGTCTGCTTTGTGATGAACCTTCCAAACTAGTTTTGTTTGAATAAATCATATGTTAATAACAGGAATCAGAAGGGCTATATATATATATATTGTATATATAAATGATATAAAAGTTTCATAACAAGTACTCCGGTGCTAGAGCGAATCCAGATGAGAGGAAAGGACCATACTTTACGAGACCCAGATGCTATAAATGAACAAAAAAAGGACATGAAACCGAGAGAAAACTATGGTTTCTTCAAGAATCAGATGCTGTGTAAGATGAGCATCATCCAGTAATTGAACAACGATTCAGCCATGGACCCGACCGGACGTCACTGTCGTTGTGTGTTTTGAGAGAGACCATCCTTTCTCCGGCATTCGTGCCTAGAAGAAGCTCACGAGTCACTGTCCGAGGAACCTGGTACAGTCCTTTCAATGCCACGGCGCATCTTCCGGAATCTTCCGCTGTGAGAACGTTTCGGCCTTTCACTGCATTGTGTGCCTTCTTCAAGGTTTCATATACTTCTTGATATTCTGGTGAGGCCTTCTTCTGAGTATGAACTTCAGGAATGGAGCAAGAACCAATCGGCATATTCTTCTCGTTATTATTACCCGACTGCGATGCATTCTTCCTTGTACCACCGACCGAATCTTTGTCGTTCCTCCTAGATATTGTTCTTTGGATTGGTGCCTTCTCTTGGGTATGAACTTCGGGAATGGAACAAGAACCAATCGACGTCTTCTTCTGGTTTTTATTACCCGATTGTGATGCTTTCTTCATCGTACCACCGGCCGAATCTTTGTCGTTCCTTGCAGATTTTGTCCTTCAGATCCGTATCTTTTTCTGGGTATGAACTTCAGGAATGGAGCAAGAGCCAATCGACGTATTCTTCTGGTCGTTATTACTTGATTGTGATGCTTTCTTCATCGTCCCAGCAATCGGATCGTTCCTCGCAGATTCTGTTCTTCCGAGGGGGTACTCACCGACAATGAAGAACCAGGGACGGGTTCTTGATGGGTACCAGAGAGGACGTTCCTCCAGTGGTGAAGCACAGATCGTGCCTCAGAGCTGATCTTAGGGTTACGGTTCCTGGCAAGATACTGGAGAGGGCGAACGTTGTCGGGCATGGAGATAACACGAGCATCCAGACGGAGAGATCTGATATGTCTGAGAACTTGGACGCATCTTATGGCTTCTCGAGAGACGGTGTAATCCCCTTTGTCACTTGCGACATGAGCGGCCTTGAGAGCGTCGCTCGTGAGCTTTCCAAGATCCGACAGCCTCTTCAGCTCTCTTCCCTTGTCCTTCCGAAGGGGCGGCGGCAAGTCATCGCTCCTCGGCATCGTGAAGTAAACCAGAGATCGATGCAGAGGAGAAACTGAGCACAAAAGATCACGAGTGTATGAGAGAGTGACGAAAGAAAGTAAGACCAAACGTTTATTATATATAGAAGGAGCAATGAATTATTAATTCCTCCACGGTAAAGGATTTATGGAAAAAGATGGAAACAATTCAAGATTTGTTTCCTTTTTTTATGTCTACGTTCTTATCAAAAAAAAAAAAAAAAAAGACTTCTCCTTGTGGGAATTGGAGTTTCCATTGTGACTTGGGTGCCAAGAAACCAAACACGAACAAAACCCTAGTTTGTGAACTTACGTGTATTTCATTAAAAACTGTCTTCATTCTCATCGCATTATCTTCATGAAAATGGAATATTTGATGTGAATGTCTTGTTTATTCTTTATATCATTTCTAATATATCTGTAAAAACAGATTAGGATTTTTTTTTGCCTCATTCAATAAAAAAAAAACATATCTACTCACGTAAAAAAAAAAAAAAAAAAAAAAGAATTAGATAGTACATTCAATTCCACGGAATTATTTTATACAACCCACAAAACGGGCTGCCTCGATTCGGTCCGGTCCGTTTAGGTTGCGGCCCGTTTTTCACGAGTTAAAATTTTTTTGATTCGCTCCAAAACATTTCATTTCGCGAGGAGGTTCACGAGAGCTTTTATCAAAAATACCCCTGTTATGCTACAAAGACTTCAAGGCATAACCCTGCAAAAATAAAAAAAAAAGTTAGTTCAAAAGATACCCTTATAATTATGTTATTCCCATAATACCCATTGGTGTGGGTCCCAATGACAGAAACAGAAGAGAGAGAGAACAGTTTTCGGTTCCCTAGGAAAAAATTTAAATATTTTAAAATTTTTAAAATTTTCCACCACAAAAAGTTAAATTTTTCGCGTGAAATTTAAATTTTTTCGGTGTGACCAGTGTGCCCAAATGACCAGTGTGACTAGTGTGACCAATGTGACCAGTGTGACCAAAACTAAATTTTTAACGGTGTGACCAGTGTGACCAGTGTGACCAAAACTAAATTTTGAACGGTGTGACCAGTATGACCAAAATTAAATTTTGAACGGTGTGACCAGTGTGACTAGTGTAACTAGTGTGACCAATATGACTAATATGACTAGTGTGACCAAAACTAAATTTTAAACGGTGTGACCAGTGTGACTAGTGTGACCAGTGTGACCAGTGTGACCAATGTGACTAGTGTGACCAATATGACTATAGTGTGACCAGTGTGACCAATGTGACCAAAACAAATTTTAAACGGTGTGACCAGTGTGACTAGTGTGACCGTGTGACCAATAACAAATTTTAAACGATTAAATATGCGCCTCTTGCATATTCTTCGACAGATTTGCTATGCATCTATCTCATTTTTATAAAAAAAACCACACGATTCACTCTCAAAATCATAAAACACAAACACAAAATACAAAGTTTATGTATCGAACCAATCTCTTGTATTAATGAGCTTACCTTCAGTTCTTGTCATTTGTTCTGTCTTAGACCGGCTCAAGAAGAAGATATGAGATCGTCGGTGAAGATATGCTCAACGAAATAATCATTTTTCGTTTGTTTTTCTATATATACAAATGAAATGAGAAGAGAGAAAATGGAAGAGTTGAGAGAAAGATAAGAGTGGAGAGAAAAAGTTAAGAAAGAAATGAAGAGTTGTCAAATAATGAAAACAAAAGAGGTGAATTCAAAATGAAGAGAGGAGTATCACGTTACTTTTGTGAGAGGGTTAATTATGTCTTTTGTTCCTTTTATTTTTTTTTCTAAAATTTTAGGGTTTTGAAGGGTATACCATGAAGTCTTTGTAGCAAAGTAAGGGTACTTTTGCTATTTTGCCGGTTCACGAGGCTAACAAACAATAATAATAATTAATTGAAATAAATAAAATTAATTTAAAATAAAATCTTTAAAATAATAAAATAATATTAAAATGTTAAAAAATAATTTAAAATAATAATTAAAAAATTGATCTGACTTACCGTATCAATTTTTTTTATGGAGTTTTCGTAGTAATATTCATTCGTATAAAAAACTACCGTCAACTATTAATTTTAAACAAAAAAAATCATTAACTATATAAATTTTTTAAAAACAATTTTTTATTTTAAATTTGTTATAAAAAACTTTATTTATTAAAATATAAAAAGTATATATTAATATTAATAGATTATAAATTGAGTATATTTTATTGTTTATAAATATTACATTTAAAATTCTATTATATATTATTATTTTAAAGATTACGGATTATCAATTTAATTTTTTTATAGATTTATATTGAATTTTAAACGTAATATTTGTATACAAATTTTTTATATAAAGATTGATGTTTATAAGTATTTATATAAAATTTAAATATTATAATATAATAAATTTAAATAAATATTATATTTTTATTGTGATTTTTTAGATAGATGATTAATTATTTTAATTAAAATTAATAATTGATGTTTTTTATAATAAATTTAAAGTGAAATTTTTTGTTAAAAAATTTATATAGTTAATGGTTTTTTTTGTTCAAAATTAATAGTTGATGATTTTTTATAAAGAAATTTTATTTAGAAAGTTTTTTTTTATGTAAATAGGAAAGTTGAAGATTTTTTTTGAGTTTGGCCCAAATTAAAATGAACCAATTAATAAGCCTCTAGAGATCTATCGACATCATTTTTCCTAACAGAGGATGGGGAAAAATAGATTCCATCCCAAACGTAAAGAAATCCTTCAACTGAATGTGAGATTTATTCTGCGTCTTTCCTTGGGTTTTTGAAACTTTATTCGTAGAAAACCGGGGTTTACATTCAATTAGCAAATCATCAAAAACCATTCCAAACCCAATAGCCAATAGGAAACAATCCCTAAACTAGGAATTCTACGAGAAAATCACTGGGAAATTACTCAGCAAAATCATAAATATCTTGATCACAAAATAACAACATTCCTAGGAGAAGATTCCAAAACAAATGATCAAATCTCATCTTACCAAAAAGAACATCATGCTGCTGTCATTGACCCAGATAGTGAAACAGAAAAACACAAAAGAAAACTCAGTTCATTCTCCTAATAAGCTCATTGATGAAGTTCTCTCTGTTACCGGCATCACCACCTTCAACGTAGTGGTTCCTCTTCTTCTTGAGGCCACCGAGCGGTGCCTTCAGCTGGAAAGGCCACAGGTAGTTATTGGCTTCCTTGAAATGAGGTCCGACCGTTATGATCTCATGAATCAGATCCTCCATGCATATAATCCCATGTTTCCCCAGACCCTGTTCATTACATCATCAGTCATACTTCTTCACATCAATAAAAAACCATAAAGTATTATGCTTTTTGTAGTATTGGTTGAAAACCTGTTCGATGATGGTATTGTCGGTTAGGGCAACTCTCTGATGGTTGAGTTTTCCGTATCCCCTTTTGTAGATCAACTCCTTAACGCTCTTCAGGTTAGGGTATCTGAGGAGAAAGCTCACACTCCGTCAAATATGAAAAAGAAATGATCTTATCATGGTTATTGGGCTGAGGGTTTTAAGGTCAAATGTACCCACCCATAGGTCACATAAGGTTCGACGCGGTGAAGCATGTTCATTGTTGCCTTGTTGACCTTGAGGAACACACCATTGAAAATCTGCATCAATATGTGGAAGTTTGCTTGATAAGAATAAAAACACTAGTCATCAAAATCAATGATATATATATATATGGAGAGAGAGAGAGAGACAGAATGGACAATAACATCATTGAGCTGTCTAAAAAACCAAACACAGGCAGAGTATCATAACAAGAAAGAAGATAAAAGAGCTTATGGCCATGCATCAACACATATCAGGCTAGAATGGACAGACAAGGGAATTCTTGAAACATCGAGTAGTATCATTGATCATAGAGCTAGCCAAAAAACACATCATATAGTATCTACAGGACCAAGTTAACCAAGATACTACAGGCCTACCTACCTGTCTCAAACGCAGAAGCTGCAAAATCTTTTTTGTTTTTGGATCAATAGCGTTGATACTGCAATGATCACGAGGCAACCGATAAGGAACAGACAATGAAAAATCTCTGAAAAAAAGTTCAAACTAACCCGATGAACATCTTACCCACGGATACGGATGATAAACAAAAGCTTAGCCTCCGGGTCCACATAAAACCCTCCTTTCAACTTGGCCTCCCGCTTCAATTGGATCAACTCCTTTTCCTGAACAAGAAATTATAATATCACCAACCCTAGCAAGAAATCTAATCGCATCAACCTCAACCATATTACCAGAACAAGCAAATAGACCTCGTAAACTAAAAACAACAGCTATAAGCGAATTTCCGTAGATTCAAAACATTTCAGTTTATCATCATACCTTCTCGGCATACTCTTTGGCGTATTGCTGGGCTCTCTTGAAGATAAGCCTCCTGTTCTCAACATTCTTCTTTTTTGTAGCTTCAGCTTCCTTCATTTTCGCGGACTGCCACTCTTCTTCCCTCTTCATCTTTTTCAGCACCGATTCCGGCACAACTGCTTTAGCCTCAGCCATTCTCTCCTTCCTTACAAAACTGAAATTTTTAACAAAAATGGCATTGTGAAACAGAATGAGAGAAATTTAACACCGTTACAGATCCAAATATCACGTAACTTGCTCCAGATCAAGAGGAAAAATGGAGAAAAAGAAGAAGAAGAAGAACCCATCGATGTTTTCTCACCTTGTCGACTAGAGAGACCAGAAGGAACACACACCCTGAGAGAGAGCACGGGATAAGAGGAAGCGAAGGGAGCCACTTTATAAATTCCTGGAATTAGGGTTCTGAAATTATAAATGGGCCTTAAAGGCCCATTAGGAATGCGTCTCCAATAGGCCCAATATACTATAAAGCCCAACTAAGAGAGCTTCCCTCCAAACCCAAATGAAAAAAGAACGTTGACTTTGGGTCAAAGAACGTTTTTGGTAATGGGATCCGACGAAGTTAGTGGAGGTGTGAAAACAAATGGACGCATCCACTTGTTTTTCTCTTTGATTTCTTCTGGTCGCAGTGCCAACCCAATTATTTATACATGTATTATATAAGAATGAGTGATTAGGTTTGCCAAAACAAAGCCACTACCTTTCTAATTGTTTTTTTTTTAAATTATATTTATAAGTAAAGCTATTAAAATACGTGATCAGGCCTGCTAATTTCACTTCAGCCACCACCTTTTGAATTTGAACAAGTTGTATTTCTCAAAACTTTATATATTCGATGAAATTTTTATAAAAATAAATTTAAAGTGTAGTTTTGGAATAAATTATATAATGGGTTACTTTAAAAAAAAAAATAATGGTCAAATAAAACCTGTCTAATTTCACCCACCGGCTTCAACCGCACCCTTTGAATTTTTCTCCATTCTGGCCCTCTTCTTCAATCAGCTCTATCCCTCTCTGGTTTGAGGAGAGAGAGAGAGAAGAGAGAGAGAGAGAGAGAGAGAGAGAGAGCAGATGTGTCCTTTGCGACTGATCCTCATATTTCTGTCGGCGAGTCTTGCCGGATTCTTCCTCGTCAGAAACCTCAAATCTCCCTCCCAGCAGCTCGACGACGCCAATGGCGACGACGGCGACGCCAATGGCGACGACGGCGACGCCATCGCCGACGATTCCGCCTCCAGATTTTCGAAGGTTCCTCCTTTATTCCCCGATCTTCAACATCTTTTTTCTCTTTCTCTTGTTTTTCGGGATTAAATATCGTTGTGGGTCAGGTGGGAATGGCGATGAAGTCTGGATTCTGGACATGCGTTGACATGGCAAGTGGTCGCTACCTCTGGAAGCACCTCTCTTCTTCTTCTGCAAAGCGATCCTCCTGATTCTTCTCTCCTTCTGTGTGTTTTGTCTTGTAACTGTAGTTGCTTGTATTGAAAAAACAAACACAGATTGCATAGTGTGTACAATAATGTAGATCATGTTGTTCATCACTGAATTTCAATAAAAATCTGCTTCACGATCTCCAATTTGTTCTCATTTCTCTGGATCTATATACTTATGGTGCATCCTGTTGGCCGACACTGACAAAACTCTGCATTAAGTGAAGTTTTCCAGTTCCTGTTTGTCTGGACAAATCATTTATCTTCTTGGTCACACAAATTTATTGATACAGCAGATGAGGGGCACTCAGGCACTGCCATTCCCTGGCTCTTACACTTGAGAACAACAAAAAACTGGGATCTTTCACAAAAAAAAAAAGGAAGTCCATATGTGCTTTCACTGCTCAAGAAACAACACAAAGTCCAAAACTTTATAGAGATCAAGGAAAATTTCTACCACAAGTAGGCGGCGTTTCAACACTAAACGCAACTGCAGTTTTAGGCTAATGTTAAGCGTCAGTTCCACAGCGGTTGCTATTCTTGCTGCTGTTGCTTGTCTGTCGAAGCTGAACTATCTACAGATTGTTGTTGTTCCTGCTGCTGCTGTTGTTCCTCTTCCGGATGCGGCGGCGGCTGATCCTGCTGCAACTCAGGCAGTGACTGCCCATCTTTCTCACCCTGCCAAACCCAGACAATATCTGCCAGGGCAGGCCTCAGATCCTCCTTCACTAACTTCTGATACTCCAGTGTATCTCCATTAGATTTCTTCACTTCAACAAAATGAAATGTGGGCGTCACTTGAAATATTTCTGCATCAATCGACAGGATCCCTTTTCTTCCCTCTTTTAATCTTTCCAGTTTGAACAAACCCGCATCTCGCTTTCTTATCTTCAGCTTCAGACGTTTGGCAGCCTCCTCTAACTTTGATATGATCACAGAAGCAGGCTCCCGAGATGTGAATCTAGCTTCTTGCTTGTTATACACATCTTCAAACAGTCCTGACAGATCAAAACCTGCAGACAAGGAGATTATATCGAAAGCATTCATGTTTGAGGGCTGAACTGCCTCGTGGTTTTCCTCAGTTTCCCTGCCCCCATTTTCGCTTGGACCAGAAGCCCCAGCTTCAGTGCTACTCATCTCTTTGACTTGCTTCTCCATCTTTTTCTGTTTGAAGTGTAGCCCTTTTCTGAACCAAGAACTCTCCTTGATTTTTGCAATCGTGATTCTAGTTTCGGAATTGGGATCCAACATCTTGCACAACAGCCTCCGTACTTCAGGGGCAAACCAGCTTGGGCACTTAAACTCTGCTTTACCGATCTTCCTGTACATCTCCATTAGATTAGAATCGTGAAACGGGAGATAACCAGCCAAAAGGACAAACAAGACCACCCCACAAGACCAAATGTCTGCTTTTGCACCATCATATCCTTTTCGGCTGATAACTTCAGGAGCAACATATGCAGGAGTACCACAAGTCGTGTGGAGGAGGCCATCTTGGCGCTTGCAGTCAGCAAGGGCGCTTAATCCAAAATCAGAGACTTTCAGATTCTCATTCTCGTCCAGCAATAGATTCTCTGGCTTTATGTCACGATGATACACTCCTCGACTGTGGCAAAACTCAACCGCATTGATCAGCTGATAAAAGTACTTCCAGGCAACATCCTCTCTCAGCTTTCCTTTGGCCACCTTGTTGAAGAGCTCTCCGCCTTTACAATACTCCATGACAAAGTAAATCCTTGTTTTCGTTGCCATTACCTCATATAGCTCCACTATGTTAGGGTGTTTAGAAATCCTCATAACAGATATCTCTCTCTTGATCTGATCGACCAGACCAACCTTCATAACCCTTTCCTTGTCAATCATCTTGATGGCCACACTCTGGTTAGTAAGGACACTCCTTCCATAGTACACCTTCGCAAAAGTACCTTGACCCAGTAACCTCCCAACCTCATATCTCTCAGTTAAGACACTTGGCTTATTTTCCATCCTAATTTACCAACTTAAACGTGCAACAAAAAAGTACTACTTGCACCTGCTAACTCAGATTTATGTATGTATAGAGAGCAAGAATGGTATAGGTTTCACTTTCAGACACAGCTCTCATCCGTCTCCACAGAGATCACGCGATAAAGCAATAGACGCTTGATTCAAGTCCAGAGACACCTCATGTGTCGGGGAAGAAAGACAAAGCAAATACTGATCTATAGACCCAAACTCAGGGAGAACATTGGAGGGCCCATCCTGTGCTGGTGACATAACCCCATGACTCTCAGCAACTGATATCCTAGGGATGAGACTCATCTTTCAGCATTCCTGAGTCTCTAAGGTCCAATGTTATTACCAGGAGGATGCTGAAAAGAGTGAAAAAAGCTTCCTGTACAGACACAACTTTCAGCAAAATGCCAGGAACCGAGCCTGGAAGGGAAAAAAAAACAAAGTGGCATCGTTATTGTCAGTCTACTGATGGAAAAGCAATGAAATTGTGCTTTGTACAAAGGGCAGCGTCCAAATTCTGATTGATTAAGGCCACAGTCGATGAAAAAGTTGAGAACTTTGCATAGAAATTTTACTTGATTTCAACAATTAGGTTTTTTTTCAGAAAAAAGAGAATGAAAAGGGGAAAATCCATCAGATTTGAAGACAGCGGAATACATAATGGATGAGATAAGCGACAGACAACTGGATCAAGAGTCAGAAGTCAAAACACACACAGAAAACGAAATGGGCATTCCACAGAGAATCCAATAAACAGAAGCACAATAAAATTTCCAAACTCTAAACTCCATCAAATAAACCGATCATCGCATATTCCGTTTTATTTTATTGAAATTCCTTCAGCGATCGCATCACCGAGAAAGCAAACACCCTGAACCCGATTCGAAATCGAGAGAGTGAGAGAGAGATTCTCGGGAAAGAAACAAAGAGAATCGGAAAAAAGCAGGAAAGAAAAATAACCTCCGGCGAAGGCGACTCGACCGATGAGTCGGAATCACGGACGGAACCGAAGAGATGGCCGGACAGCTCTCTCTCTCCCCCACCGCATCAGCCGCTCTCCCTCCTTTTTCTATAATTTATTTTTCGAAAACAGAACGAAGATTGTTCAAAATCTTAGATTTTTGATGAACAGGAGGCAGCCACATGTTTGGAAGGGGGCGGGCTGATGGGCTTTTATGCGGCGTAGAACTCTCCCGTGATTCTCATTCCCCCT